ACTTGGCAAGTACTATCTGTTAGCTGGCACACTCAGATTTCTCCCATCTCAGCTAACATACCTAAGTATTGTTTAGTATTTTTCTTAAAAATTTTCAGGTGTACTGGTATAGACAAGATTTTGAACAGCAAATCAAACTTCTACGTTGTGAATCCACAGAGCAGTTCAACACAGGGAGGCTGCTATGTTGTTAATTTATTTCCTTGTTAGTGCACATAAATCCCCCATGTAAGCAAGCCCTTCCTTAAGCTCATTTCAGTATAAATCATTTCCACAAGATGAGCTTGCACCCACGAGCAAAATCAGAGGGTAAATAAAGCTTTGGGTAATCTTTTATCTACCTAATGCAAATCATACAACCATTTCAGTCCAGTATTTTCTACCCCTACCCACTGAAGGGGACCTGCCCTTGCCCTCCTTTTTTAACAACAATTTTTTTTCTTCTGCATGGATTAATTATTTTGTCTTTTTATTAATCTTAGTATCTGAAAAGCAGAAATAGATAACTCTGATTATTCAGCCATCATTTTGTCACAGAAATTGAAGTACAAAAGCTTTCCTAGAATGACTTCCTTCATCTGTTTGATGGTTTCCATCTTTATTTTGGGAGAAATATGAGAGAAAGTTTATTTTTATATCTGGTGCCTGCTTCCTTTGCCAGATAGTTGAGGGACAACTGTTAATTGTTTACCCTCCATTTGGCTGCAGATCTGTTGACTACCCTGCCCAGGAAAGCCCTCCAAGCAGCCATGTAGGTGACAATGTTTTGGTGTTGTAGTCATTTCATATATAAGGGCAAGGCCACATCATAATTTATGTGAGTTGTCAGGTCCTCCAACAGCTCAGAGTCAAAATGCAAATGATTGTAGCATTAATTCAGAAGGAGTCAAACAGAGCAAGCACAGGGTCATGATGTACACCAGAAGCTGGCCCTGATGCAATTACTGGCATCTTCATGGGCTGCTTGTTTACATTTGGATTTTTGACCTAAACAATCCGGTCATTCTGGATGGTGGCTTTTGAATGTTCACTCAGGAAGAGGATGTGTCTTCAGCAGAGTGCTCAGGATTCTTTCCCAGGACCAAAATATGGAGAGAGGCAAAGCGAGTCTGGGGGAAACAATGGTCCGGTGAACTCATTTCAAATGAGCACTTGAAAACTTGGTTCATCCATTAAATATTCCATATATTCATTGAATAAAATGTAGTGCCTTCCTTCATTATCATTATGTTAAATCACACCCATAAAGAGAAGGAGCAAGACTGAGGCTTATACAGAGCAGGCTTTTCACTCTACATGACACGGCTGTGATGATACTGAGCACCCATAAATACAGCTGAGATCCAGGCATGTTGAATCCAGGTCCGCTGTACATCACCATGGCAGTGTGAAGCAGCTGAAGGGGAACTTCTCCCAGCATGCCTTTTAATTTTTTTAACTTTTTTCATTTGCATTCTCAAGAGGTCTAAGTTTGCAGTTAATAAAACAAAGGTGATCAGGCTAAAGTATAAAGTCAAAGTATTGCAAAGTATATCTCAGTGACTCGAGGTGGATACAAAAATCTCTGCTTTACTAAGTCTAAAAGGCAGGATCTTCCCCACAGTACAAACTAATCTTTTGCTGATTCATAGCAGCTGTCATTGACCATTTGATACATAATTTTGGTGCTAAGAGAGGCTAATATAGACATAACACAGTATGACTCATCAGTGTCTATAGTGAATGCAACCTGCTGTACATAGCTGCTGGCCTGCTTACCAAGTTATCTGGAAAGTTTTGTAATAGTTATTTGAGCTTTCTTGAGTAAAAACACTCATAGTAACCTAGAATATTCTCCTATAATTTAATTTTATTCTTACTAGTTGTGGGAAGCTAAAAGTAGAAAAAGGAAATGCATAGGGAAGTAACAGCTTTTGAGAAGATCTGCAAAAATGAGCTTCTCCTTAAAGCTCATCACTAAGCTTGTAATTATTTTTTTCGTATTTCCAGCCCTCATCTTTATACAGTAAAATATTTGCATTAGCAAGTATTTAGCTTGTTAATTAAAACTGCTAAAAGGCCATCTTATCAGAGTTGACACTAGGAAAAGAGAAAAATCCTAAATTTAATGAATATTCTAAAACCTTGATGATAGTGCTACTTGTCTCCAGGTGGGTATTATGCTGTATGGAGGACAGGTCTGTATTAGAAAAGCAGCATTTGTCCACCAAAGTAGATTTTAAATTCTCAGCCTTAAGAATACTTGAATATTTTAATTTAAAAGTTTCCTATAGTGAAAACATGCCAAACTGGGGAAATACATTATGTGAGAAAAATGAGGTGTATATTCTCCTTGATTAGCCTACAGCTATTTGTACTGGTTTAGCCTGTTTTATTTAGAAATCTTCCACCTGTTTAATGAAATTATTTTTTATCCAAGTTGAGGTTTTCTGTTGAAATATATCCACACACACACACAGATTTGGACATTTTTCTTCTCAGATTCAAATGACAGTGTTATAAATGGCTTTTGGTCTTTGTCAGCTTGCCACATTTAATACAGCTTGGATGCCTCCCACATCCTGCTCCCTCAGCATAACACCAGCAGAGGGAATGAGTAGCTGTCTTTCCATTTAGATCTGAAAGTTATCTAACTGCTATTAACATTGCAGCAGAAGTGGCTGTGGTATTTCATGGACTCCCCTGGAGGCAAGATCCAAAGTCTGTGTAATCTAAACATGCCTCACTTTAGCTTCTCACTGAGATTGAAGGCTCTGAGTAATCCCTGGTATTTATTGCCTTCCAGATTCCACTCTGTAAGCATCAATAGTTTATATTTCATCCAGTATTGCCAGCAAACTGTAAGCTGAGTTTACAAATGTGTCATTTGAGATATTTTTCAGCTTTTGACACAGCTCACCACCCACAAATGAGTAAACGAGGCCAAAATGTCCAAGTCAGCTTCTCTTCAGCAGAGAGATAAGGTGAGACACCTTTGGGTGTGAAATTTATCCATTTTTCAAATTAATTTCTGCAACTGTGAATTCCCATATGTTGAAGTAAAGCATAAATCATGACAGGCATATACTTGCCCTGAATTACATTTATATAATAGCCCTCTATATAATAAACCTCTAGGCAGAGGCAAATCCTTGGCATGCCTAACAGATAAGCTGGAAAGGAAGTAAAAATGAACCCTTTTCCTTTCTCCCCAGTTTAGCTTCTTTGGTATGCATTGCCAGAATTGTGGCAGGGTTATAATTCAGTGCACACACGCTGCTGAGATTATTGGGTTTGAGAGAGGAGGAGAGGCATTACAATGCTTAACTTGCAGGCCCAGGCGGCCCTGCTCTGAGAGCATGGTGCTGGCTCTGCCTGGTGCCACTAAAAACCATGACAGCTTTCTTTGCTGGGCCACCTCACCATTCTCTGCCTGCTCCTACATGACCTCTCACGCCTTTCTCAAGGGTAAATGCTGTACACAGTGACATTTTTTATTGCTGCCTAAGCACAATAATATAACAGTCACAGCCCCCTGGTGCAACCAGTGCCAACTGATGCTCTCTTCCATTGCTTCCTGCTTTTACAGTGATGTGATCTCTGTATGGTGAAGTGCCATGTTGGCAGTAGCCATCCTGTCAAGGGTAGAGTCTGTCAGATGACTGAGAAGGCTCAAAAGCACTTTCCTGCTTTTGGCTCAAAAGCCATAGCTTTTGTAGTTCTTACTACATCACTTCAGTCCAGGGAGCTTTGCTGTCAGCATTTCCACCACTGTTGTGCGGATGCTCAGGGTGTGCAGCACTCTTCACCGTGCCCTCCCCATTGCCCAGTGCAGCCTCCCCAGGGCATGTCCCAGGAGGGTCACAGACGTGGGGGGATAATGGGATAATGCCCACAGCTAGGGCTGCTGTGCAGGGAGGGAGCTGTACTGTGTGCACCTCATAGATGAGTGAGGAACTTAAGGCAGAAAGGAGAAGCAGCAGTATGGGAGATCAGAAGGTAGCAATGGGAAAGAAAGGGTGTACCCATCATTTAAAAAATGGCTGCTTGAATACTATCTGTGGTTATCATCACATAGTTATCATATTAACCTGTTCTATCACCCAGCTCCTCTCTCACAGGCCAAAATCAGCCTTATCACACACTCCACGCATTGCTGAGCTGTGCAGTGGAGAAAGGGGTGAAGTAAAGCAGGTGCCCAGCTGTGGCAAGGTACCACACCTTTGATTCAGCTCTCCAGGTCTGATTGCGAGTCTGAGACTTAACTGCTTGTGACTTGGTAAATAAGAATCTTCACAAGGCAATTTGGACTCTTCTTGTTGCTAATGCTAATGTGAGCTGATTGGATTAGCTGTAGGCTGCCTTGCTGCTGAATGTAGACAGTGATAAATATGAATTTGATTTAAAAAAAAAATACAGAGGGAGCCTATTCATGTGGTGAAGATACAGGGTAGTGAAAATGGTGTCAAAACTATTTAATATATGTTTTCTTACACTGGCAGTGTTAGTGCTGCTGTTATACCTCTCATCTCCTCTCCTTTGCATAGGGAATTCCCAGGTTTTGTAGCACTGAGTTAGTGGATAATGAGCCTGGGGAGATCCAGGGGATTTAATGTTTGTTAGTGTGGGTTTTGATATCACTTCTCCTAATAAAGCCAAACTGTGACAGGTTATTTGATGCTGTCAGTCTGTGTTGTCAGCCAGCTCTGTGCCCCAAAGTGCAGCAGTTACCCAGAGCGAGTTTTATGCTTGTGCTTCTTTGCGTTTTTCACATCATTGTAACTTCCTTGTTGTCTTTTCCAGTCTGCTTTCTCTGTTGCTCTTTTCTTAAGATAAATGCCTACTGTCAAAATTATGAAAGTTATCTGAGAGAAACTTGATTACAGGGGATATGATAGGAGCTCAGAAGTATGTATTTGATTTGCATGAGCTGTGGAAGTGAATGCCAACAACCTGAGCATATGTTCATGGACTGAGTCCCAAATGGGCTAAGCTTTCCTTTTCCTCTGTTTTCAATTCAGGGTTTGAACATGAGTACCCAGCCACACACTGTGACCAAGGTAGAGATCCCTGGCCATGTTCTTTACACCGTAGGAACATGTGTGCTCATTATTGGCTCCATTGGCATCATCGGAAACCTCCTAGTCCTCTACGCATTTTACAGGTACAAAAATTCCTTTTGTGGGTGATCTGAGTGGCCTTGAGTTTCACCTGTGCCCATGTACAGATTTCTGCACTGCTTTCCACTTGGATTAAATCTAATGGCAACAATCATGGTGGAAAGAGAGGAGAAGACAACCCTACACACACGGAAACACATCCATGTGCATCATTGACAACCTCAGTGTAAATTCCTGATGTTTTAAAGAATCAAATAAAATGAGAAAATAATACCTTGTTCTACAATTTCCAATTGAAAGGTTAAAGAATGGTTTAATACTTCTAATGATAGAAACCACAGTCTCGCAGCAGCAGATTTCTTCACTAACCCTGTAGTATTTGCAGAAATACTCAACAGTGACACTCTTCCCTTGAGCCCAGTGGTCCTGAAAGGACCAAGAAGGCAATCTGCTACATGAAATGAGCTCATGCCACCAGTGTATTTCCTGCTCCAGGCAGATCATAGGATTTCTGTCAGTTTGTGTGCTCTCTTGGCAGAGTAATAGTCAACCAAAGTTACTGCAGCTAGACTGTGCAAAAATCCCATGGAAAAAAGAAACATCTGCCCTCTGTCCCACACTGTGATGATGGATTTCAAAATCCTCCTCATTCGCTACTTGCTGTCATTATGCATGGTGATGCAGTGGGGCCTTTCAGTGTTAGAGACACCAGTGGGTTATGAACCAATTGTTAGTTTTCCTATTCTTAAATGTTTAAGACCAATAAATGAGTTATTTTGATTAACCAATTTCTAATATGATTTAGAGAAATTGAATTCCTTGCAACTGTAGATACCTTCATGATATTTTAAAATGCAGCACAAGCTCTGTATTTCTCTTGAAATGTGTGTGGTTTAGCAGGTGTAATAAAGGCATTAAATTGTCAAAGTAGGAAAATCTGCACTGGCAGATTAGCACATTAACTCAGCACTCTCTCTTACCCTGTTTTTGCAGGCAGTTATGAGACCCAAGAATTTATTAGAATTGCAGCAGCACTGAGATGTCTTTCTCACTTTCTTTTTCACTATTTATTTATCAGCATGAGGAAAGAAATTCATATTAGCTGCAAATACTGATATTGCAAAGCACATCAGAAAGGTCTCAGTTGTTTTCCTTGGACAAACTTTGCTTGCAGACCTCTGCTTTCACACCTTGTTGTGGTGTTTAATGTTGCCTGTTCATCTGCAGCTGAGAGTTTTCATTCTCTCTTATGAGACGTACATAAGCAAAAGCACTTTCTCCAAATCTCAGTGTGTGCTCTGCTCATGCTGTAGCACTTTGAAAAGGATCATTTAGTTAGCGGCATCTCAACCATTTCAGGCCAACTGTGTCAACACAACACCTCAGGTCAGCAGTTTTTTAAAGTATCACCAGAAGCAGATCCTTTGGCTCTGTAACTTTCTTCAGATTTTCCTCATGTGCAGTGCAAGGCACAATCAATATTACAGCACTCCTAGGGAACTGCTCTTCTGAACAAATCCATATTTATCAAGACAGCTGAAAATCTCCTTAGCCTGAAGAGAAAACAATTCATTTTTTTCGCTCCTGTTTTTTTTCAATAATTTAGAAATGACTACAGCTGTAGCTGCAGTAATTGACTGATGATTAGCAATTGATTCACTGCAAGTAACCATCAATTCCAACCTGGACAGTATTTGTTTATGCTAGTAAGCAAAGTTATAAAGTTAAATTTCCACTTTGTCTTTTTAAAACTATGTATTTCTCATGTTTTTAAGCAACAAGAAGCTGAGGACTCCCCAAAACTACTTTATAATGAATTTAGCTGTGAGTGACTTCCTGATGTCGGCTTCTCAGGCACCCATGTGCTTTGTCAACAGCTTGCACAGAGAATGGATACTTGGAGACATAGGTACTTTTCAACACTAATTCACACCTTGCCAGCTTTATGCTGCCTGCAGCCTGTTTCAGCACAACGATCTTGGCTTGTGCCACAACAGAGCAGCAGAAATCTCTTGAGTCACAGCCCCAGACATCATCAGTCAGCGTGATGTCAACATGTTTTGAATTACAGCTGTGATTATTCTATCTTACATATTTTGGAAAGGAGGGAGTCAACTTGCACCTATAATCATGTTACCTTTAGCTTGTAAGGGAGGTATTATGGCTGAAAATAGGTAGAAAAGTCTTAGTAACTTGTAAATAGTTTTTCTGTATCATTTTGAGGGCTAGTTACTACTTTTATTTAGAAATGTATGCATATCTATTGGCATGCTTCTAGGAATCTCATATTTAATTCAGAGATTTAAATAACAATAGTCATTTGAGGACTCGGCAAATTCAAGCTCCTTTCTTTCCTACTGCAAGAAAGGAAAGGTGATAAATGCTGTAATTATAGCTGAAATGGGGGTATAGCAAGAACCTCAGAAGGCCCAATGCTGTTTGGCGCTCCTTATCATATTATGGATGAAAACTTGCACCCACTGGTGGCTGTACAATGGTGGAGCAAGTCAAGAGACCATGTACTGTTCAGCAGCAGAGAAGGGACTCTTCCTAGTTTGAAGGTATTTTTAGTCTTGTTCATCCCCTTAGATAAAATCAGTGCAAATTATCATGCTGCCACAAATGAAGCATATGATCTGAGTTGAGTGGGATTTGGTCCTTAGTTGGAAGTTATTTTTATAGACTTTAGAACTCTGCTTTAAGGTTGGAACTGGTGTTTTTGCTGCTTGTCATTCCTAGTGGGCTCTTGTCTATAACCACATAGGGCAATGCAAGGTTTCAAAGAATGGATACTCTTTCCACACAGGTTTCTCTATTAAATTCAGTGTAACTTTTTCAGTTTCAGTTTCAGTGCCGTGCCTGAATGCAGAAGGGGTTAAGGGGTCTGTGTCATGTAAAAAATGTAATTTTTTTAAAAAGTACTGCCATTAAATATAGGAGTTGGAGCTATGTTTTTAATAGAGCTGGTCTCTTAGTCACCAAATTTAAACCACTTCTACATTTTTAAGCCACATAAACCAAAGTAATTTCTTGAACCACCCATCCATCATTGACAGATGTCTGCTGCAGCATGTTAAGATCAATATATTGGGCAACAGTCCAGGAAAATATAACTTTAATTAGATTGGATTTTCTTTGAGGCAGTTTTCCATTGACAAAAGGTTCCCAGTTGCAGCCTGCAGTGAAATAGGACTCGTTTAAATACATATATTTGTATTTTATTTATATTTGTGTTTTTCTAATAAACATTTAATAACTATGAAATTGTGAAGCTAAGAAAATGCTTCTATTGAGACAGAATATATCCTGAACAAGGATAAAAAAGGGAGGTTTATTTCAGTGGGGTCTGAGAGAAATCATGCCTCTTTTCAAGAAAACCCCTGACATTCCGTTTCCTTCTCCAGGCTGTAACCTGTATGCTTTCTGCGGGGCTCTCTTTGGGATAACCTCGATGATGACTCTGTTGGCTATCTCTGTTGACCGCTACCTGGTGATCACAAAGCCCCTGCAGTCCATCCAGTGGACTTCCAAGAGACGCACCATGCAGATCATCGCTCTAGTGTGGCTCTACTCGCTGGGATGGAGCGTGGCTCCGCTCCTCGGCTGGAGTATGTTGTCTGCTCTCTCTCTCTCTCCTAGCAGTACCTGTGTGCTCATTTAAGTCTTCCTTGGGGGATAAAAAAATGAGTTTTCTCATCAGTCATTTTCTCAAATCAGTCCTTGTGAGGATGCCCTGCCACCACCTGATGGTTTGTTGTTGTAGCACACATCTGCACCTGCTGTACTGCACAAACCCTCTGCCCCCCTATGCCCAAGCAGAACAACCTGCAGGTGGAGTATTAGTGTGTACCTGAGAGTTCTGTAGTCAGGACCTCCTCTCCTCGTGGGCACTCACTTCTCACATATATGATGTGTAGTTTGGCTGGCATGGCTCTTGAAGACCATGGATACAGGACAGGGTTTATTTTAAGTGCTCAGTGGTTGGATCAGCACCGGTGCTAACTTTGGGTGCATGTGTGAATAATGTGTTCTATGTATTCCATAGGTTCCTATGTGCCTGAGGGCTTGATGATATCCTGTACATGGGACTATGTAACCTACTCCCCTGCAAACAGAAGCTATACCATGATTTTATGCTGCTGCGTGTTTTTTATCCCCCTGATAATAATATTCCACTGCTATTTATCAATGTTCCTGGCCATAAGGCGTACTGGCAGGTAAGCAATACAGCCAAAAGAAGTACATATCCCTTTTTATGTAATAGAATATTTTCTCAGTTTCTTTAGCTGCAGAAAAATCTGGATCAAAAATTAGTCTGAATTGAAATTGACAGCTGTAACAGGAGAAATTTTTTTTTACTCATTTAAAATTGGAATGGATTTGTGAATTTCAGAGTAGAAGAAGAAGTCTCTGGTGGTTCTGATCTTATTCCACTGTAGTAATTAATATTACATCAGATAATTAGATTAAGTTATTTGTATTTCAGATTTTCACTACGAAAAACAATGTCCTTGTGTATTCCAGCAGTTTTCAGCCTCAAGGGATAATAAAAAATATGTAGTGATAGGGGAATCATCTGCCTTAGAGCAGATCTGTAAACATAACAGTTCTCATATTTTTTGACAGTTTTATTTAAGGCAGGCATCAAAAAAAACCAGCCTGCATCACCCGAGCATCACAAATACATGCACAATATCTGGCTATGCTTGCTCAGCTGTTTTTCCCCAAAAAACTGTTGGTCTGTATTTGAAATGAAAAATCATCAGGGTGTTAGATCTATAAACTAACATAATTCTATCAGTTATTTGTCTACTAATGAGCACATGGCTTACCTTTGGTCAGCTTATCTCACAGCTGGTGCTGTGAGTCCTTCCTGCTGCTCAACTGTGTCATCAGTTCTGATGGCTTTTCTCTGCTCCTGTGTGCAGGCACTTGTTGAAATCATTTGGCTTTATAAGCCTAAATTCCACTTTTATAAGTACATTTATATATGCCTAAAATGAAGTTCTTTCTAAACTCTATTTTTTGGCCTTTGTCTTGGCTTTTATTGTGCTTTGTGTGTGTATACTTCATACCAAGCGAGGGAATGCATCCTTTAAATAATGGTGTCTTGTACACCTGTGGAGCACAGTGGACATAAGCTTTTTCTATGCCTCTTTTCAAGGCCAGGCTGGATGGAGCTTTGAGCACCCTGGTCTAGTTGAAGGTGTCCCTGGTCATGGCAGGGATGTTGGAACTAGATGATCTTTAAGCTCCCTTCCAACCCAGGCCATTCTATGTTTCTATATTTACAGTGCACCAGCAGAGACTTTGTTTCCCTGCTGGCTGGTAATTAATGTCTTCAGTGTGAAATGTATCTCCATTTTGCAACACTAATACGTAAAATTTGTTATTTCTATGCTAAAGTATACAAAATGCCTGACTATATAAAACTTTTTAAAATAAAATGTGGGGGTGTTTGGTGTCAGAAGAGAATTTGATTTTTCATGACAAAAACAATAGGATTGCCTGTTGTGCCTCTCACTGAAAATACTCTTTAATAAATAAATCTGCAGGTAAGTAAAAATGTCCTTGCAAGTGTGTGGGACAGGTTTCTCAAAGCTATCAAGGTATTCCAGCATATGTTACCTCGTGAAGTGGAATTTCTGCAAGGTGTTCCTTCATCAAAAAGGATAAGATTTGATTTTCCCATCCAGCTGTGCCTTTTCGTACTCCACCTCTAAAAGCAATGAAGGGCAAGAGATATCAATTTCTGTATCTTTGCAACCTGAAACCCTTTTTGTGTTAGGGATAAGGACACAACAGTCCTGTCCTGTAGTCCCAGGGGTTCTGGCTCAGTCTCACAGGCAAACATAACACTAGCAACCGCATTAATTACCTTACAGGGTTTTTAAATAGCAGAGGAAAAAAGAAGAGTTAGAGTGGTGAAATACAAAGTTTACTGTATTTTGCATATTGCTGAAAACATATTGCAGATGTTGCTTTTTCATTGTCCTGCTGAAATATCTGTATTTTACCCCTCTCACAGGGATGTTCAAAAGCTGGGGTCCTGCAGCCGGAAATCCTACCTCTCTCAGTCCATGAAGAATGAGTGGAAGCTGGCAAAAATTGCTTTTGTGGTGATCATTGTGTTTGTCTTGTCCTGGTCTCCATATGCTTGTGTCACCTTGATTGCCTGGGCAGGGTAAGTGGAAGAGGAGTCCAAACAGCAGGGGTTATGCAAACATGATTTGTACTGACATCCACATGAGGCAAATCTCCTTTTTGAATGGGTCTTAAATAATCACTATAATAGAGGTGATATTTCATTCTTCGCTATATCCTTGTGAATAAACCCAGAAAAAGGATTATTTGTTTATGCATTTTGAAACTATGATGACTTTTTAATGTTAATATTTGGTACACGACGTTTTCTTTCCCACATGATGCTTTCTTTGTATAAATTGGAGGACTTAGCTCCTGCATCTCCTAATTACCTCCTTCCTCCCATAAACTGCTATCTCCTCCACCCATTCTCCACTCCAAATGCACCTGGTGTCTTGTCAATGCATGTTCTACTCATCAAGGCCAGGTTGGATGGGGCTTTGAGCAAGCTCATCTAGTGAAACATGTCCTTGCCCATGGCAGAGAGGTTGGGCTAGATGATCTTTAAAGGTTTTCTTCCAACCCAAACCATTCTGTGATACCATGATATTAACTGTGCTTATGCTGCACTGACACTGGTCACACCTGACTGACTGTGAGAGCTTAACGTCTAAAGGATGGTTTCAAACTGCTTCAAGTCCTCTCTTCCTTCTGCAGTGCTCAGAACTGAGTCACTGACACACATTACTGTGCAGCACGCATGCCGCTGCTGCTGAAAGGTTTTTTAGGTTTGATTTTGTTTTCTTTTCTATCACCATTCACTTTTCCCAGATGGCCACAATGGTTCTTTTGTTGATGTTTTGGTTGGGGGTTTTTTTTGTCTATTGCAGAAACATGGGAGGTGATTCTTGTTGTTCCTAGTCAGCCTAAAATTACTTCGTGCATGTCTTCTATCTAATGAATGAATAATCTAATGAATAAATGAATGAAACCAAGAGCATGCTGTCAAATTCAAACCTGTCATCTGAGCAAAGAAATCGCTTGAATGAATCAACTTTACAGGTGTATTTCTTATAAAAAGATAACAGCACTAAACCAATTTAAAAGAGTAATATGTTATAGTAATGTAGTATCCATGTAATCCATGGTATAGCTGTGTGTAATGTTTTTGCTTTGTTTTAGTCGAGGCAACAGCCTAACACCATATTCCAAATCTGTGCCAGCAGTAATTGCCAAAGCTTCTGCTATCTACAACCCCATCATATATGCAATAATTCACCCAAGATACAGGTACAGTAAATATATAGGTATGTGTTTAACTGTACATGCAAATGTGGATCTTTTATGGAACAAACTACCCTCATTCCTTCAGCCTCACCCCGTGCAGTGCATGTTCCTGTGCTGACCAGGCCATGATGGGCTCAGGGTGGTCAGACCCAGCTGGTACATGGCAGCTCCAGATATAGCCTTGGGAGTGGCCAAAAGTGGCCCTTCACCTTTCCTCTCCCTCAGCGCCCTGCTCTGCCCTGTGAAGCTGCACAGCACCGTGACTGACAGGAGGAGAAGGTGATGCACAGGTCACTTTTCATCATACCAGAAACAGCCACTACAGAGCACTCTCTAAATAAAAGGTCCCAACCAGCAAGGCTCAAAAAATCACATCCTTACCAATTTAAGCAGCTATATATGCATATGTTCAAGGTTTGGTTTTCTTTTGGGTTTTTTTTGTTGTTGTTGTTGTTGTTGTTTTTTCACAAAAAACATTTGAAACATTGGCAGCAAAAAATACTTTTTTATGTAAAGGGGATATACTTGTAATAGAACTGCTATCCAGCATACCTGTAGAATTTTTTGCAAGTCTTTCTTAGAGTAGCTACCACAAAGTGACGCTGTGTCGAAAGTTCTAAGAAAACACAGGGATGCCATGGTGGTAAATGTGATAAATACACAAATACCACTAGATGGCAGGGTTAGTCATTGGTACGAGGCTTGTTTCACCCAAGAAGTAGAGAAGCTGGTAAATTCCATTGCCTGACAATGAGGACTTGGGAGCTAAAAATTGAGTTCATTGTTTAGGATGTCTGATGCATGACAGTGTGGTTGTAAGAAAAGTGAAGGTTTCTCAGAAGGCTGGTCAAACCATGACCAAAAAGGGTGAAAACCTGTTACCCTATGATTCTGTAGAATCATACAATGGTGTGTGTTGGAAGGGACCTTAAGTGTCATCAATTTCTTAACACCCACCATGGGCAGGGACACCTTCCACAAGACCAGGTTGCATAAAACCCCATCCAACCTGGCCTTGAACATTTGCAGGGATGGGACATCCACAGCTTCTCTGGGCAGCCTGTTCCTGTGCCACACCAGCCTCATAGTAAATGCCTTCCTAATATCCATTTTAAACCTTTCCTCTTTCAGTTTAAAGCCACTTCCCCTTGTCCTATCCCTACATGCCCTTGTGAGAAGTACTTCTTCAGCTTTCCTGTAGCCTTCATTCAGGTACTGGAATGTGCTGTAAGGCTTGCCCAGAGCCTTCTCATCTCCTGGCTGAACAGCCCAACTCCCTCAACCTACCGGCAGAGCAGAGGTGCTCCAGCCCTTTGGTTATGTTCACAGCCTCCTCCTTGCTGCCACAGGTCCATATCCTTCCCAAGCTGGGGACCCCAGAGCTGATGCAGCCCTGCAGGTGGGGTCTCAGCAGAGCAGAGCAGAGCAGAGCAGAGCAGAGCAGAGCAGAGCAGAGCAGAGCAGAGCAGAGCAGAGCAGAGCAGAGCAGAGCAGAGCAGAGCAGAGCAGAGGGGCAGAATCCCCTCCCTCCCCTGCTGGCCGCACTGCTCTGGATGCAGGACACGATCCAGGACGTGTTTGGCTTTCTGGGCTGTGAGTGACCATTGCTGGGTCATGTCCAGCCTCTCATCCACTTCCACATGTCCTTCTGGGCAGGGCTGCTCTCAATCCATCTCTGCCCAGCCTGTGTTTGTTTGGGATTGTCCTGACCCACGGGCTGCACCTTGCACTTGGCCTCACTGAACTTCCTGAGGTTCCCATGGGCTCCCCTCTCCAGCCTGTCCAGGTCCCTCTGGGTGCCCTCCCTCCCCTCCAGCGTGGCAGCCACACCACACAGCTTGGTGTCATCACCAGACTTGCTGAGGGTGCTCCCAGTTCCACTGTCCATGTGGGACAGTGATGTTAAACAGGGCTGGTCCCAACACCCACCCCTGAGGTCACCACTGGTCACTGAGCTCCACTGGACACTGAGCCATTGACCACAACGCTTTGAGTGTGACCACCCAGACAGCTCCTTATCCCCTGAGGGGTTTGTCTGTCAAATCCCTGTTTCTCCATTTTGGAGATGTATTTTATTGAAAATGTCTGCTAGCATAGCTAACACCTTTTTGCATCCCCTAAAAACCATCTGAGATTTTTTAAGTCTGCAGAGCATTTTAGTTTAGAGTAGGAGAATGCCAACTTTCTGATGGGTTGCAGAAGTTTGAGAGTTTGAGAAGTTTTGCATGGCTGGCTGATGTGTTTAGGGCCCATTATTTGTTTCTGAACCAAAGTTATTGTGTTCAGCTTATTATTACTTTGCAAGGAACAAGGAACAGCTGCCCAGAGAAGCTGTGGATGCTTCCCTGGAAGTGTTCAAGGTCAAGTTGGGTAGGGCTTTGAGCAATCTGGTCTAGTGGAAGGTGTCCATGGCATCAGGCTTGGAACTAGATGGTCTTTAAGGTTCCTTCAAGATTCCTTCCAACTCTCACCATCCTCTGGCTCTGGGACAGTGAACTGCTTCAGTCAGTCTTTTTCCTATCAGCATCGGCTTCTTAAGACTGTTAAGAAAAAGACTGGAGTCCACACCAAGCTTTCAGAAATCTTCTTAATAAGTATCTTGTTTTATCTTTTTTTATTTTTCCCCCTGCTTTCTGATCTGTATTTCTAGACATATCAACATAGACATATCAACAAGAGAAATGGACTTGTTGTGAAGACATTTCATACACTTGCGAGCAATCCAGTCAGGAAAAGAAGTAATGTTGGGTCCCTTGTGATGAATCAATAATGCAGTTTCAAAACTGAAAAAGCCCTACAATACACCAATAAGTCAGTTGGTAAAAATATGTTGGCAGGACCAATTTTCCTTAACCAGTGAATAATGAATATATATGTTAAGGTTATTGTTTCTGGATAATTTCCAAATCTTCTAATTATTCACATTATGTCTTGAAAGTAATTTATTCAAGCTCAGATAAGTGGGCCAGTCTGTTCAGGCTAAAGGGTTAAGGGTATGAACAGGGGATAATCTGTCATTTTATATTGGAACTACTGAGCCAAATTACATCTAAGTTATTTTCCAAATCTTTCTAGAAAGAAGCATCTAGAAATCAGGATCAAAAGTGTTCAAAACAAGTTCAATCCACTAGCAAAGTAAGATGCTTTTTTGCACAGAGACTTCCTGACACTGCATCTTAACAAGCCAACAAAACCAAGCCTTTTTGTGGCATTTCCTTAAACAACAGGGGAAAGAAAAGTACATTATATTGAATGTAACAGTGATCTTTGTGCTAGCACTTGGCTTCTAAAAACTGGTTTGAGAGTTTTTTATATTTCTTCTCATCTACCTATCCCCCTGTGCACCCATTCCCCTCCAGTAGAAAGGAGAAAAACACCACTCCCTCATAGGACTCACAGGAAATAACGAATGTAAGTGAGGAATGTACTCAAAGTTTTAATTAGTGAAATGCTCTTCTGTGGGGAAGAAAGCTTTCACATCTTTAACAGCTTGTATTCCGTCTCTATGTTCCACAATAACTCCAACACATTGCTATATTAGAGTTATTGCAGAAACTCCCTTATATTTTGAAAGTTTTAGGTTTTGGAATCATTCTTTTATAGCAAACAGGAAATTCTGCTACTCTGTTTCCAACTGGCTCCCAAGCAAAGCAGAATTACACAAAAAATATTGGTTCAAAGCTCTGACATCATAAATAATGAATAATCACAAATAACTTAGAGTTGCAGAATTTTTTAAAAAGTTGCTTGCAATTACTACATATTTAACTTTAAGTGACTCCTTTATTTCAGACTATAGAAATATCATTAAGTACCTCACTTTATGCCTTTTATCTCATGCATACAATATTAAAACTCCCTTCAAAATCTGTACTTTCATCCCAACCAGCAAAATGTCCCTCAATAGTCCTCCCAAATATTAGTAAGATAGAAATTCTGGTCCCTCAAGACATTCAGAAATGTTCATAGGTTTTCCTCGAAAATTCACCGTCAGACATTTATTTTCTGAATCTCCATCATTAGGAGACCTCTGCACCAAATCCCATTTAATAAATGGGATGGTTTATTTTACACTAACTTGAATTTGTCAGAGGAAAGTAGTTCAGCTTCTTAGCTGGTGAAAAAAGTTAGCAGCTGCTTTTCAGCACCAGACTGAGGTCTTCAGCCTGAAGGAAATTTATGGAAATTTATGAAAGGAAATTTTCTTGTGTCCTGTAAACTCTTTCTCAGGACATTTTATTTTGTGCACAACATTAACCATCTTTTTTTTGCCCAGCACCATGTGAGGAGCCTTCTGCCTCAAACAGCTCAGTGGGCCCTGCCTGGTCACCAACAGGCATCTCTTGGCAGGATCAGGAATGATGGTACAGGCAGCTCTTTTCAGTCCTCATCTCCAGAGTGGACATGGAGCTGCTGTTCTCTTGTCTTTGAAATTACAGAGGAAAGAGACACAGAACTATTCAGAGAGTGGTGATGATGCCACATAAAGAGGTTTGGTGGTGGTGGGTTTCTTACAAGAGAGTGACCTCATTTCATGATGCCAGAGTCATGTCTCTGAAATTTTAACATGTGTGATCTTTTGTGAGAATAGAAATGATGATTTAAAATGTACTGGTTATTCAACAAACACGGTAACTATAGAAGCAAAAGATTTTAAAATATACATCTGCTTGACTTGCATCTCAGTGTAAAGTCAATGTACTGACATCCTCCAGTGATCTGTCGCCCCCTGCATCAGTTTCTTGCTATATGTCTTGTTGCTGTCTCACTTCTTGACTTGTTCATTTAGTTTTTTGCCTCTATTAGCTTCATCTGTTGGGCTGATATAATGGACTGGGAAGTGCTGGGGAGGTGTTAGACCAAATGAAGCATTCTGACCAGCACTGCCCTGTGAGGAGAAAGGCCAGCTGGCATTGCTCAGGGGAGGCTCTTGGACACTTCTGCTCCATGCAGGGCCAAGGTTGGGGTAGCAGAAATACACTCACACAACCATGACTGAGATTATTATTTAATGAATAAGGCAGATTTGGGATCTAGACCATTCTTCTCTTCTATGCTTGCACAGTGCTAATTTTCAATAGGAGTTTACAGTAGCTGCCATGGTACAAATAAGTAACAACATCTGATTCTTCTGGCCCTCTTCCTCTTCCCTTGTTTTCACTCACTCTGTGCCTTTGCACAGTAAAGACCTTTGTACCAACTAGCCTGAAATTTTCAGGGTTAACATTTAAAATAAACCATATGCAATCATGCTCTTCAAGATATTTTCAATTCTTACCACTTACCTAGGCAGCTCTTCTGTGTATGTTTTGACACAAGGCCCAGAAGGACCTGTTATTTCCTTCTCAGCCTGTTAAGTTGTTTGCACCAGCTACCGTGCTGTTTGCATGTAATCTTTAAGACCCCCTTAATCAAAACAGAAGCTGTTGTGAGGTGATGGAAAGAGACGGCATTTTCACCACATGAATTTCAAAGCCGTGTCTTTGGTGTGACAGGTTTGGCTTTCTTTTTTCTTCACACATTTTCCTTCAGAAAAACCATCCACAAAGCTGTTCCCTGCCTGAGGTTCCTGATACGAATATCGAAGAATGACCTCCTGAGGGGATCCATAAATGAGTCATCATTCAGAACCTCTCTCTGCAGCCACCACTCTCTTGCTGGCAGGACCAAGAGCACATGTGTTTCCTCCATTTCTACTGGAGAAGCTGTAAGTCCTTTCTTGTTTCCATGAAAGAGAATGAGTATAACATTTCTCAGACTCTAAATAAGCAACTCTATAAATACATATTCAAAATTAGAGAACAGAAAAGGGAAGGAGGAGGGTGTAGCTAAATTTTTTGGGTCATATAAGGTCATTTCTGAAAAGCTGGAAGTTCATGCACGATGATTTACAATCAAAAAAGCATTTAGGCCAACATATTTGTGTGGTTCTGATGCCTGCTGGGACTAAGGATGTTCAGAGTAAGTCTTTAATGTGAACTAAAAAGAGCCATTTTCAGACACTCCCTGTGTCACTACCGTTCCTACTAGCTGTGTTAGGTATCTTGCTGGTCTTCCATCCAAAGTTTTATAACTTATCCAAAAGCTCTCTTATTATTAAAAAAAAAAAGTCAATTTTCTGGAGATTGGGAAATTTTTGACTTCTTTACCCGGATTTTAACCATGAGGAGTGAAAGGCTCCTGACTCTAGAGCATGGTGGGGAGTTTTGTAAGAACGTACCCCAAGCATCAGTAAGGCTGGTGACTGAGATAGAAACAAAAGATCCCCTTGAGACTCTTCACAGCCTCTCTCACTCACAAGAAGTTGGTCTTGCATGCAGAGGTGATGGGAAGGTGGCTCCTGGGGGATGGCAGCCACAGGAGAGTCTGGGCTGGGGCTGGCCCTCCTGGAGACCTGTGCTGCTCCCCCTCAGTTTGGGCATCAGAAACTTCCCAGAGTGACAGCTGCCACCAGTAACCTCTCACAAGATTATAAATCCTACGTATACCTTTTATACTTTAAGGTATAAAACCCTAAATTTTCTCCCATTACTCCTTTGTTTGATGCCAAATGAAGTAATTTCAGCTGCATCATCCTGACCCAAAAGCTTTCACTGTTGGTCACTACTCAGTTTTGATTTGTCCATGTTAGCAGGTTATTGCATGTATTTCCATGTGGGTGCTGCTTCAATGGACAGGATAATGAGGGTAAGAGGCTTCAGCTTTTGGCACAGCTTTGGCTTAGGAGTCTCAGTTAAAACCCCTGCTGTTAGCAGTACACTGTGCTCTGCCGACTTGATGCAGCCAAAGGCAATTGTCCTTGGGGCAACTGACAGCTCAGTGCAGCTGTAGAGGTTTTAGCTGAAACAGCAGCTGCTGAAATAAAAGCTAAGCTCTATGACTTTGGCATGACAGCAGGACTGACTGAAATTTTGGAATGCTCCAATAAAATATTGACGGGCCAGAAATGACACCAGGAACACTAAAAGATGCAGCTGTTGCAACCAACATTTTGCTCTGTGTGTTGTGTACATGTTAGTGAAGGGAACAAATGAATTTGTGAGTCATGTCAAGGAACATTTCATTCAAGTAATTTTATTCAACAAGTGAGGGGAAATAACCATGTGGCTACACATAGATGTATGAGCAAGGTGATGCAGAGGAATTATTCAGTATCTTCCCATTTGTGTAGAGCCCTGGCTGGCTGGCTGCCTGTCTGGCTGGCCTCTGTCTATCCATATCTAAAAGCTAGTGTTGGAGTGGAATGATCTTATCAATTAATACTCAATCAAAAAGTCACCACAAAGTAAAGGATGACAGATGGCCTCACCCAAGCCTGTAAATGGAACAGCACTTTTGTAATGTCCCATTTGTGCTTCATTACTGACATGCTCTTAGAAAATTAGAGCAAAGCCCACCATCTCCCATGCACTGATGATGGCTTGTAGAATCAGCAAGCTCATGCAGATTGAGAAGCCCTTGTTGTTCTGAATATTCTGCTGGGATGTATGCAAACATACTTTTGGATCTGTCCACGTCCATGGTTTTGTATCAGCTGATGGTCACACAGAATGCTGCAAGACATATTGAACAGATTGATTGTATTGGCTCCCATCTTTAGAATTCAGATGCTCTGCAGGTATAAGTATAGCATAAGCAATGAGATAAGAAAAGGGTGAAAAACATCCTGGTAAAAGGAGTTTAAATATATTTTCATTATTTCCAAGTTGGTTTTATTTTTGGTCAGCAAGCAAAATAGTCCAGGGTAAGTGACAAGACTGAAAATAAAAGCTCTCCCAGGGGAGTTTTGAGTGTGAGACCTATGTTAGAACAGCTTTACTTTTCTGTGAATGTGCATGGGTTTTGCTAGAGTTTGAGAACTTACAAGAATTTGCGAAAGGATGCAGCTGTCTGAAATCCTTCATCAATTTGTGATTAGATCTGGAGCAATGTGGAGCTCGACGCTGTAGAGCCAGCTCAAGAGAAATTGAAGCCTCGCCGAAGTCACTCTTTCTCCACAAGTCTGAGACAAGAGAAGAGAGACCTGCTCCCAAAGACCTGCAGCTGCGATGCAGCCACTGCCAAAAAGGTACAGAAAAAGGTCTCAGTTGAGGACTCTGTTTTAGTGCTAATCTTGCTGCAGGACATCATCACTGGAATGATAATCCAGCCTTTATGCCCATCTGTTTCATCTGTAGGCTTTATTTATACTGATTCCAACATTCTCTTTCTCCTTTGCTGTTTTTTTTTGTTGTTGTTTTTTTTGTTTTTGCTTGTGTGTGTGTGACAAATGAGAGAGACAGTAATACCTAATTAACTTTTTTCACTGATATTTGCCTGTTCTTGGAAAGCCAGCTCTGCTTATACCTCTAAAGCTTCATTAAGGCATAGTCAATAGCATCAGATGTAAGAAGATGAGTTCTTTGCCTCTCTGCCTGTTTATCTACCCCAGCTTTGGTTCCTGCCTTCATGGCTCTTGTGTCCATACTGTGGCAGTCTCCTTTTAGAGTAAAGTCAAGTCTGCAAAACAGAGTTTGACATGATAGAAGCCACCTTTTTCCTTCTTTTCAGTGTACATTAAAATGTTTTATTTTTGTTGAGGGGGAAGACGAGAAAGAAACTCCCATTTCTCCCTAAGGGTGGGAGAGTCTGGCAACTGCCACCCTTCCCTCACTGAAAGAGGAGATGGTGAGTACTCAGTGCATCCTCTGCAGATGCATCACCCTCATTGGCCAAACCACTGAGGTTTGGTGTCCTGCTGTTGAGGAGCACCCCATTCCCTGATAGGAGCAGTAGGTCTCCCATGAGTCATTTTCTGCCAGATTGTAACACCACTTTCCAAACCAGTACTTGTATGGGTGGCACAGCATCAGCCATACACCAGTGCTGCCTTTTCAGGGAAAGACAGATGTGGCTTACAATTCCGTGGTTGGACTGAGTACCCTTGTTTGATGGAGGCACCCTTTCTTGGGGTTACTCTAGTGCATGTGGACAAACACCCCACATGTCTGGGTGGGTGCAGCTACAGCATCTGCTTCTGTCCCCTGTGGTCCCTTCCAGATCTGATGGAAATTGTCTAGAGACATCATGGTTTAAAGCAGGAACTGCTCTGAAAATTTCCAGCCACCTGATGACCCAGTTCCTGCATGCTTTTGTCCTGTCTTTTCTCGTGTGTCATTAAGACCAAGTCCTGAGAAAACTTGTTCCTTTCCTGTAACTGTTGTGACCAGTATTGGTGGAAAAACAGTGGCTTCAAATGTGGTGTCAGGCAACGTGGGCTCAAATCTACTACTTAGTTTTGTTGCCTTCTTTCAGCAGCCAAGCATGTCCAAGGCTGTAGGCAAGTGGCAAACGCAGGTTATAGGGAAATGGCAAAGGTTATTGTCTCCAGGTTCTCAACAATCACTGGCTTTCAGTCTCACAAGGAAGGAGAAGGGAAGTAAATCTCAGGTGGTCTGCATAAACAGTTCAGTAATGAAATAAACATATCTGTATCTGAAATTTAGCAACTGTGTAGCCCACAAGAAGGCCATGTGCCCTACTTTTCCTTTGAGAGACATCTCTTGAATTCCTTTGATAAATAACCCTTCAGACTTTCAATGGCATACACTGAGCTATGAGATTATTTACATTGAATGTTCAAAGCCTCGTTTGCTTTTCTTACTGTTTTCAGCAGAGAGTCCTGTGTGTTGTGAAGGTCCTTTTTGTGTTCAGATAAATCCAATGCACCACTATTCATACTATCAGAATAAATACTTATTTGTCAAGCTCAGAGGGTTTCCCATTGAGACCACCCATTTATCCTCAAAAAACAAACAAACAAACAAAAAAACCAACATCAAAATAAAAAAAACAACACCAACAAATCCTAAGGAAGCACCAATGCATTTTTTTTTTGTATTTATGTTAAGGCTTTGATAGCATTACTGGATTGCCTTTAACTGAATTCCAACTACAACCCTTCCAAAAACTCTCAGTTGTGGACAAGCCAGTCAGTATCCCAGGCTTGGTGCATTCCAAAGCATTAAAATGCATGTGACTGTTTTCCTTGCTGCCACAAAAATATGCTCCAGCCCCATGGACCTCTTCAGTTATGATAGTAACAAACTTCATGTAGGCTGACACCTGGAAATTTAACATGGTAGTGAAGTAGCTTTTTTGGAAGTATTAGAATGTGAGCTTGGATACTTGACCTCAAAGGAGAGTGGTAAAATGTTCTCTCTGCATCCAGGTGTTGTTTCAAGGAAATTACCCAGTGTGAAAACTATTAAAAACATTTGTAAGTGGGTGTTGTGCCCACCAAGCCACATCCAAAAGAAACTTACTCTTCTCTTGCAGTGAAAACAGCACTTGAAATAGGGAGGAGTGGTTTTTTAATTGGATTTTTTCATTCTACTATTATCTTTGATATGGAAGAATGGACTTTTCTTCTCTGTCATACTGATTTAAACCACTTTTTTAGCACAGTGTGCTTCCCTCCACTTGGTAGGTAGAACAGCTGGAGAAATCATTATCAATAGGGATTTGTGAATGATTCCTGCTTGTGGAGTAGAATGACACAAAACTATGGGAATTCACATAGTAATGAAGTAAAATATGCACTTTACTTTAAATGTTGGTTTTCCCTAGAAAGGAGGGACTTCCAGCTTATCTCTGTATCTGACAGAGTGACTTTATCTCCTTAATTGTTTTTTTTTTAAGGAAGACAAAACTGATTACTTGTGCCTTCCCTAGCCTGAATATTAACTGACACTTTCAAAGCTTAGTTAGTTGACTCTGGATTCGCATATTGGGCACAAGACTTATGGAAAGAACACAGAGGCCTTGCCATCAGAGCCAAGTTAGAAATCAGAATTCTCTCAAAATAGGCAGAAAAGAAATTGTTTGCAAAGTGAGTATTTATTACTTTTTTCTTGGAGGAAGCACTTTCCAATGTGTGAATGCAAGGCCACCACTTCCCTGAGGTATCTCAGGAGCCATTTGGAGAGAGACAGAGGTTGTCACAAAGTTGACAAAACTTCAGGAAAATAAAATAATTGAGTGAACTTGGGTCTTATCTGAGATCTCTTCCATGAGAAGAGAGGGAAAAGCAATAATCCAGTACCCTGATACCCTTAGATGTGTTAAAAATGAAGTAATACCATTATTTAATGATTAAATAAGTTGGATACAGGGATGAGCTTTTTATCTTTTGTTTTTGTTTTTTTCTTTCCAGTCTCTGCTGATATTTGAGTACTTCTTCTTTTGCTCCATTTAACATTCTGCTATCCAAGCAGTACATGTTAGCACATCATGATTTTCCCTCAAGTTAATGATTCAAGTGTTCAGAAAATTGGCCTGGTGGCTCAGATATTGACTAGAGGCAAGCAATGTTTCAAATACAAAAATTCAGTCACATGGTGTCTGGCAGTGCTAAATCTTATGTCTCCACTCCAGGTTTCGCTCTCCTCCAGCTGTTTGGAGAAGGTTCTTGGGCAGCCTGTCCTACCCAATCCCTCTTCAGCACTTGTGACCAGCTCCCTGAGAGCAACATCTCTGCCTGTCAGATTGAATAGCAGCAGTGTCACCAGAGGAGACTCAAGTACTTCCCATATGGAAACTCAAGGAAGTCAAGTGAATGGAGTTGTGGATTCTGTTATTAGCAATGCAGTCCCTCGCATCATCATCATTCCTACCTCAGAGACAAATCTGTTTCGGGAAGAACTGGAAGAGGAAGAGACTGAATTATTCCACTTTCATGACAAAAAGGGCAATCTGCTGGACTTGGAAGGGCTTAGCTCATCCATGGAGTTCCTTGAAGCTGTTGAGAAATTTCTATCATAAGTTTGTCAAAAGAAAACTTTCCGGTAATTATTTTCTTGGCATCTTCTCCACTTAATTATACCAAATAACTGAAGCCTTGTGGGTTAGATCATCAGATTTTTTTGTATGTTTATATGGTAGTCACTAGGCAGCCTTCAGAGTTTTCTTTGTCCAGACCAGCTCAGGCATGGAAACAGGCTTTCTTTCAGATTGTGCCACAGGAAATGAGCAGTGGAAGATCTGGCAGCAGGATCCAGTGGCATTGGTCAAGGAGGCTGCCTGATTTGTTGCCACTGATGGGGGCACCAGCAGAAGGGAAAAAGAGTGACTGAGAGCAGGGTCAGCTGCTGAATGCTGCTATCTGCACATGGAACAGCATTCCTGTTTTGGCAGCCCTGCTCTGGACAGTGATGGGAAGCACCACAAGACCACAGCTTCCACCAGCCCCAGCAGTAAGGCACATGGCTACATGACCTCAACTAGAGTTTAATCAAATAATTCTCAGCATTGGTTTTGCTGTGTTTTCTTTTTTAAATAGGCAGCTTGCTAAACATAAAGAAAGAAACTGGTGTTTTTTCACTGGAAATTGACTACTTCCCAGCTTATAATCCTCTGAAGTTTAGTGGTAGAAATCTGGATTTTACCTCAACATTAGCATGGTCACTTAAATGTCAAAATGCAAGGTGCTATATGCTAAAACATACACTACTGTAGAAGCATTCAAAGTACCTTCAGAGTTACAGTCCTGATTAAATATGTATGTATCCTAATGAGTCTGTGATTGAAAGGGTGAATGCTCACAGCTGGCTTGACAAGTCATTGAAAAAAATAAAGCCTTGGCTGCTGTATATCACCTGTCTGATCAGAGAAGGTTCTTCTCATCTCCTCTAAAACACACCAGCAGATGTCTTTTACAGGTCACTTACCAGAGGCCTTCAAAGTGGGTAAAACATCAACTTGGGAAGAGAACCACACAGTACTGTGTTTGCTACAGGATCTGCACTTGCATCTTTATCTGTGGTTACTAACTGTGCTCCTTTTTATCTGTGCTTCACATTATGGCTCAGGCTCACAGGACTCTCCTAGCATTTTTTTCCTCTTTATGCACTCTTCCTTTTTTACTCATTTTCCCATTTCTTCATGTCTTCCCTTTCAGTCTCTGATTTTCAAACATAGTTTGAACAAGTTGAATTACATTGTTCTTTACATAATTTCAATATATATTAGTAGAAATCAAGGTACTCCTCTGGATATAATAGTGCAAATATTTGGTCCAGGGAGACTAATAGTATTCAGACATTCAACAAGAGAGTGAAAGTTTATGTTCATAGTCTCAGTTTATTTCCTTGACTGTATCCTAGATTGTGCAGAGATCACTGAGAGAATTTCCAGGTTTTGTGTATTGCACTGGCTGATCTCAGGAAGTAATTTCTCTTTGCCTGTTTTCCTGATGCAAAAACCAGATGGGAAGCATAGAAGTATTTTTAATTACTTTTTTCACCACAAAAAAAGGCAACACAAATCTTGTTTGCAACAATCTAGACAGGAAAGCTAGTAAAGAGCAAATGAAAACCCACAGCAGCACAGGAGAGAGAAGAATGCCTCCAAACTTGCACACCTGAGGCACTGCCAGGTGCCAGACCTTTAAGAGGAGTGGGTCACTCGCTTTTGATACCATTTTTAGAAAAAGGCCACTGGTGGGTTACAGAGGCAATTGCTGTGACAGGCTGCCTAATGCAGTGCTGACACTCCACATGCTGCTATTATTTGAGGTGCTCTGCTGGCTAGAGACCCTCATACTTCCTTACTGTGGAAAGCAGGGAGGAAATTGGGTGTGGAGCCCCATCCTGCTGCCTGTGTGTAGCCCTGTTGTGTGGTGCTGGGGGACCAAGGCTCAGCTGGGGCAGCACCAGGCTGCGGTTCCTGCAGCCAGGCTGCCAAAGCCTGTGCCCACTGAGTGCTGAGTTTTCTGACAGGGCCAGGAATCATGCCAAGGTCATCTACAATGAGCTCAGCAATTCCAAGGGCAATTCCTCCATTTGAGGACTGGCACAGTGAGCAGACAGTGCAGGACAGCTGCAGGGGACTGGGACAGGGACGTGCTCACTTGCAGTTCCACAGTGCCAGGTTTTCATCCACTGCATAGTTTAGGCCACAATGTGTTATCAAATGTTAATTATGTATTATGTACATGGGAAATGGGGCAGCCTTAGTCCTAGGCTAAACATACTGTCCTTCCATCTTGGATTCTTGCCCTTTTTCTTGCTGAACCTGCCCTCTCTGATTTTTTTTTTCCCCTACACCAACTGTGCAGTCAGTGACCTTACTTCTTCTTGCATTTAATATCCTCAGCTGCTGTATCTCTTTTCTTCTTGAGCCATATGTTAGGAAAAGAGCATACTTTCAAGGCTTCCAAGCCTTAGACCTGACTTTTACTGTTGTAATGACTCCAAATAACAATAGAAAATGCACTTGCTGTTCCACGTTATAAAAACATGACCTGGAGAAGATTTTGCATTCAGATTATGACAGACTTATACTGGGAAGACTGTAGGCAGAATGGTATTGCCATAGGTTTTGGCAGGATGAAGAATGGAAGACCTGAAGTCATAGTCAACAAATTCCTCCATATCTGAAGTCTTGCATTCTACCTGTTAGCCTACAGAAGGCTCTCCAGTGATTTCTTGTATGTGTTTGGTGCTTATTACTGTGATGGTACTGAGTGTGTCTCAGAAAATTAGCAGGCTTGAGGTATGTGCAAACGATGTTTCACTTTTATGCTGTTAGTGTCATACACTGTTAGTATCATAGCTTCAGAAGCTACTTTAAAATTACTGCTTATTTAAACTGATGCAGGCTAAAATACCAAATGGTATAGAGAGATAAAACATAAAGTTGTATGAAATATCAGATAGACTTACTGCATCATTGTGAGACTTCTGCAGAAACATCAGTCACAGAGTAAATTAGTCTCAAATTGAATACCACAATGCAGGAGAATTTTGCAAGCTTCTCTGTTGCCACATTAGGATAGATGGCACATAAAAATGTACACTAATTAATGTTGCTTCCCGTTTCACAGATGAATGTATTGGTTCACTCAAGTGGAATAAAAAATACTTAGGAGTTAAACTGAATTATCCATTGTTCGTTTGTCTTTTCTTACTTAATCATTATCTTTGGAGCCAGGAGGAGGAATAAAAAAGCTGAGTCAAAGCTTTTGAAACCTGTGCTCTGATCCAGTTAATAGTAAGATACATACACACACACACACACACACACATATATATATATGACATTATTTTCAAGTAATTTAGATTGCTCAGATGCAAGCACTCATCTGCTTGAGTGCATAACATCTAAATTTCTATAACATCCAGAGTTCACTGGCTTGGTAAAACCTGAAGTTGTGCAGCTACTTTTGAAATACAATGATTTCAGCTGGGATGACAGGTGTCAGGTGAGCAAAACTGAAAAAAAGCAGCCAAAGTCTACTACAACAAAATTATTATAGCAGACTTTGATCTTTGTCCTAAATCTGAATAAAGGTAATGAGTAATTGTTTCTGCTAATACTCTGTATAGCACAATTATAGGATGTGTTCCAGTTTTCATGAGTAACAGAAAATCCAGACCACAAGTGTAAACACTTTCTTTTATCATGGACAATGGTACTTTTTAACAGTTAAATCAATGGTTAGATAAAGTTTTCAAATAAGAAATTTTACTTTAATCTTAATGAATCTTGCAGCTTTGGGCTGGTATGAAACATGACCTAATACCACGTTCTATCAGAAAGCTCACTCAGTTCCCAGACATCCACCCATTTCCCTCCTTTCAAGAGACACACCTGAACAAGAAGCTTTTGGCACTAACCTAAAATCCAGTAATAATAATCTAATAATAATCTAACCTTATTTGGTTTTAATCACGTTTTTTGGGTGTATTTAGAACTTTTCTGGGTTTGATCTACTTTATTCACAAAGACTTAGTTTCTTTCCTCTGCTCTTCTGTGTTTAAATGGGATCGTAATTTTTCTCTCTGGTTTAAAATAAAAACCAGCAGTAGAAAGTCGCAGTGCCCCTAAGGATGCCATTTCATCCCTTGTGGCAGCAGCAGCAGGCAGCAATCCTAACAGCAGGCCAACACCAGAGCCCTCCCAGGAGGACAAGAGCACACCAAAAAGGTAGGGGTGACACGTGCAGGCTGCAGGGTGACCGGCAGGGGTTGGGGCTGAGGGTTACACACCAGGAGTTTGGGGTTGCAGGACCCAGCAGTAGGGCTGGGTACAGACAGGGCAGAGTAGTTAGGGACCAGGTTAGGGTCCAGGGACAGGCTCCAGAGCCAGGGGTAAGGGGTAAAGGTTAAGGGTCAAGGTCAGGGGGTCAAGGATCAAAGGTCAGGGCTCTGAGGGCAAATGTTGGGGGTTGGAGTTTGTGATGTCACATACAAAAATGGGGAAATACTCCATGGTAAATAACCTGTTTTAAAATTTCCTTATTTTCCCCTCAGACCCTGTTTTTTTTGGGTTTTTTAGTTGTTGTTGTTGTTGTTGTTACATCTGCTCTCTACTGCTTCCCTGTGCAGATAATCATTGATACTTTTTGTCTGGTTCTTTCACAAATACATGAAAGCAAAGCAAGTTAATGGGGAGATGAAAACCTGGGTACATATTACGCAGCAGATACTGACTCCTTTCTCACATAGGAGTGATCAAAACTGCCCACAGTGCTTGGATTTAGCAAGTGCATGGACCAGGTGAGTGCAGGATGAAGCCTGGCAGGGTGGAAGCAGCTGAGATGCATCCCCTGGTTCATCTCAACACAAGCTGAGGATTAGTTCTTGCTCTGCAGCTCATCCATAGCCTCAGTCTATAATCAGTGTTCTGTCTGCACCTTGAATGGACAAGTAATTAGGTGAAAACTTTGGTGCTGGGATGCCTTTGTTGTAACTGCCACTTTTACCCATGTATTAACATACACTACAGCTTACTAGGAGTTCAAATGTCTGTCCATATATTTT